CTGCACCCTGGGCATGGTGCTGCCCCTCTGGAGCGACACCCAGGTGTTCCTCGACGGCGATGGGTAAGGCGGGGCTGGGATTCTGGGAATGGGGAGGAGCTTAAGGGGGCGGGGCCCGTGTGAGGGGTGGGCCTGGGGTGCCCACCCCGACCCACGTGTGTCCCCGCGGTGTCCAGGGGGTTCAGCGTGACATCGGGGGGACAGACCCGCATCTTCAAGCCCATCTCAGTGCAGACCATGTGGTGAGCGAGGTCTGGGTGTGACCGAGGGCATGGGGGGCATGGGCACCACCTCGGATGTGGGGGACATGGGCATTGCCATGGGCATGGTGGGTGTGAGGGGTGTGGGCACTGCCCTGGACATGGGGGAGGGGGATAACGCGATGGGCATGAGGGATGTGGGCATTGCTGCGGGCACAGGGAATGTGTCACCATCCCGGGCAAGGGGGATGTGGGCACCACTGTGGGCAAGGGGGATGCGGGTAACAGGATGGGCACAAGGGATGTGGGCACCACTATGGGCACAACCATGGGCACAGGGAATGTGTCACCATCCAAGAGAAGGTGGATGTGGACACCACCTGAGTCACAGAGGATGTGGGCACCACCCTGGACATGGGCAAAGGGGGTGTGGGCACCACCATGGCATGGGGGATCTGAGCGCCACAACAGACATGGGGGATGCGGGCACTGCCAAGGGCACAGGGGATAGGGGCATCACCATGGACACAGGATATGGGAACTGCTGGAGGCGTGGGGGATATGGGCACTGCTTGGGCACAGGGAACGTGGGTGTTAGCATAGGCAGAGGGGATGTGGGCACCACTATGGGCACAGCCAGGACACGGACCTACAGGCACCACCATGGGCACCTGGGCACAGTCATGGGAACAGGGTTGGGGGAGGGTTTGAGCACGGCTGGGAGCGGGATAGTGGCACCCACATGCTGGGGACAGCCAGCACAGGGGACACAGGTGTTGGGGTGGTGGCAGACTGGTGTCAGGTGGTGTCGGGGTGGCGGTGGCAGAGCAGGGGTGGCAGGTGGTGTGCGGCAGGGCCATGCTGCAGGAGCTGCACCGCGCCTGCGAGGACGCTGCCCGTGGTGGGCACATCCCGGGGGGCCCCACGCTGGCCTGGGCCCACGACTATGCGGCGGCACTGAGCTCGGAGCAGAGCTGCCTCAACGAGTGGCTGGCCATGGCTGACCTCGAGTCCGTGCGCCCTGCATCGCCCCCACCCCTGCGGTAAGAGCCACCCCTTGCCCCACCCCTGCCCCACCCCACAGCCTGGGTAGGGCTGGGGCTTGTGGTATAAGGGTGGGGCATTGGGTGGGGCTGTGAGGGCAGGGCTTGTGCTAAGGTGTGGGGTCTGCATTCAGCGTGTGGCTTGTGGGACAGGGCTTGTCTGGATGGGGTGGGGCTTAAAGGAATGGGGAGGGGTTTAAAGGAAATAGGGTAGGGCTTAAAGAAACAAGTGGCGCTTAAAGGAAATGGGGTGGGGCTTGAAGTAATGGGGTGGGGCTTAAAAAAAATGGGTAGAGCTTCCAGTCTTTAAGTTTCCAGCTTAAAGAAAATGGGTAATGGAGAGGCGGGACTTGCATTTAGGGGAAGGGCCTGAGCACGGGCAGGCGGGGTCTGTGCAGGGCATGGTCTGGGTGGGGTAGGTGGGCGGTGGCGGCAGTGACACCCATGACAAGGTGATGCGGGCGCCAGGCCAGCGGCGACGGAGCTGTCAGAGCAGGCGGTGCGGGCACTGCTGCGGGACGTGATGGCCACTGCTGACCTGGAGAATGTCACCTCCAAGGAGGTGGGTGGCAGCAGGTGGGGGGGACAGGGAGGGCCAGGCACGGCCATCCCTCACCCCTGGCGGTGCGCAGGTGCGGGAGGAGCTGGAGCGGCGCACGGGGCACAGCCTGGCCCAGCACAAGGACTTCATTGACAACGAGATGCTGCTGGTGCTGGCACAGATGGACCGGCCCTCACGCATCTTCCCACACCTCTACCTGGTGGGCAGTGGGGCAGGAAGGGTGGGCAGGGTGGGCAGGGGTGTCCCCACCCCTCACCCCTGTCACCGCACAGGGTTCCGAGTGGAACGCGGCCAACCTGGAGGAGCTGCAGCAGAACAAGTGAGTGTGGGATGGCACGGGGGCATCTGGGGTCATGGTGGGGTGGTCATGGGGTCATCTAGGGTGCCACTGGTGTGGCATGGGGTCTTTGTGGACATGGGGGCATCTGGGGTGTCATGGGTGGGTATGGGGTCATCTAGGGTGGCACAGCAGGGTGGACATGAGGGCATGGGACCCGGGATGGCATGCTGGGGTGGGCATGAGGTCATCTGATGTGACATGGTGAGGTGGCACAGGGTCGTCATGGTGGGGTGGGTATGGAGTTATCTGGGGTGGCACAATGCGGTGGGCATGAGGTCATATGGTGAGGTGACACAGGGTCATCATGGTGTCGTAGTGGGGTGGGTATGGGGTTATCTGGGGTGGCACAGTGGGGTGGGCGTGGTGTCAATATGGGGTGGTGTGGCATGGGGTCAGCTGGAGTGTCATGGTTGCATGGTATGGGATCCCATCTAAGTTGAGTGTGGGGTCATCTTGGCATGCCATTGGGGTGGGCATGGGGGTATCTGGGGTGGCACAGTGGGTACGGGGTCATCTGGAATGTCATGGATGTGTATGGGGTCATCTGGAGTGACATGGTAGTGTGGCATGGGATCATCTGGCATGGGATCATGGTGGGGCAGGTATGAGGTCATCATGGGACACCCGTTGGGGTGTCACCCTTGTCCCCACAGGGTCACTCACATCCTGAACGTGGCACGGGAGATTGACAACTTCTTCCCGGCGCTGTTCACGTACATGAACGTGCGGGTGTATGACGAGGAGGCGGCCCAGCTCCTGCCCCACTGGAATGACACCTTTCTCTTCCTCTCCCACGTCCGGTCAGTGGGGCCAGGGCAGCCCCGGGGCATGTGGGGGATGCCGGGGGGACATCGGGGGCACGGAGGGCAGGGGCTGGAGCTGGGGGCAAAGGGAGGAGTCCCCTGCCCTCAGGGGAGGAGTCTTGATGAATGAGGTGCTGGGGTGCACTGGGGACACTGGGAGCACTGGAAAGCTCTGGGGACTTGGGTCTCTGCAGATACTGGGGCGACCAGGGAGATCTGGAGCATGGGGTTCTTGGGGATATAGTGAGCCCTGCAGGACAAGGGGAGCCCTGGGGACATGGGGTCCCTGGGGTCAAGGGGAGCCCTGGTGCATGGGGTTCCTGGGGACGCTGGGATGGCTGGGGACACGTGGAGAACTGGGATGTGGGATCCCCAGGGGCATGGGGACACTGGGGTGGCTCAGAACGCCAGGGTGGTTGGGGACATGGGGAGGCTTGGGGACAGAGAGCCCTGGGGCATGGGGTCCCCAGAGACACTGGATTGGCTGGGGACTCGGTGTTCCTGGTGACCCTGAGGGGGCTGGGGACACTGGGAGCCCTGTGAACATGGTGAACCTGGGGTGGCTGGGGACACTGGGAACCCTGGTGACATGATACCACTGGGGCCCCCAGGGTGACTGGGGAACACTGGGAAGCCCTGTGGCATGGAATCCCCAGGAACACCGTGTTGGGGTGGGGACACGGGGACATGGGGAACTCTGGGGACACCAGGATGGCTGAGGACACTGGGAGCTGGGGAGGTCTGGGACATGGGGACACTGAGATCCCTGGGAACATGGTATCTTTGTTATCCCTGGGGTTGCTGGGGCATTTGGGGAGCCCTGTGGACACAGTGTCCCCGATGCTCCCCGTGCAGGGCATCAGGGGGCCGGGCACTGGTGCACTGCCGCATGGGACTGAGCCGCTCGGCTGCCACCGTGTTGGCCTACACCATGAAGGAGTTTGGGTGGCCCCTGGAGCGGGCACTGCGGCATGTCCGGCACTGCCGGCCCAGCGTCCTGCCCAACCCGGGCTTCATGCGGCAGCTCGACTTCTACCAGGGCATCCTGAGCGCCAGGTGAGCGGACATGGGGCAGGGACAGGGTGGGGACGAGTGGGAGGGGACAGGTGAGCAGGGACAGTGGAAGGCGACAGGTAGGAGGGGACAGGTGTGGCTCCCCTTGGGGCCGTGTCCAGGTGCTGACCGACGGGTGTGTGGCAGCCGGCACAGCAGCCTGTGGGAGCCCCGAGCGGCCGAGCGGGCGCCGCACCCCGAGGACTCCCCGAGGGACAGGGGTGTCCCGTCCCCGCTGTCCCCGCTGCCCTCCCCGCAGCCCCCCGAGGAGGAGGCGTCCGGGAGGGCGGTGCTGGGGGCCTCCCGGCGCCCCCGCATCTCCCTCTGCGCTGTCATGCGGAGCATCAGCCTGCTGGAGACCCCCGAGCCCCCCGAGCTGCCGGAGGAGCCCCTGGCCGGGGAGGTGAGCGGGGGGCCGGAGTGGGTCGGGGGGTCCGGCCCCGGGGCGGCGTGGGATGATCTCTCCCTGTCCCCCTCAGGTGTTCGAGGCCGTGGAGGAACCGGGGGGTCCCTCCCGGGGGTCACGGCCCTCGTCGCGCCCCCGCGGGGTGGTACGGCAGCACAGCCTGGACGGCGGCTCCGGCCCCTTCTGCGACCACACGGATGACCCCACCCCAAGCGCTGATCCTGCCCCCTAATTTTAGGGGGCACAGGGCAGAGCCCCCGCTGCCAGGGCACCGTGGGGAAGGGCCGCAAGCCCCCTTCCCCACCCCACCTGCACTCTGGGGGGCAGAGGTGTCTACACCTCAGCGGCCCCCCCCCCCCCCCCCCGAGCACAGAATCCCATCACTGCGCCCGCACTGACAATAAAAGCGTGGAAGAGGCAGCGACAGTGGGGAAATGGAAATTTGTGACAGCGGGGGGACAAGTGTGGCTCCCCGGAGCGCTCGGAGCGTTGCCATCAGCAGGGACCGGAGTGCTCAGGGATGAGGGGACGGGCGGGCGGGCCAAGGGACCCAGCGGCTCCGCGCGGCCGCCATGTTGTGCGGCGGGGCGGGAACTACAACTCCCAGCAGCCTTTGCGCGGGGGCAGCACAACATGGCGGCGCCCTTTGTCCTGTTTGGAGAGCGGGAGGCGGGTGGAAAAGGATCCCCAGGGACTGCGGCTTTCCTGCGCCGCTTGCGGTGCGGACTCTCGAGGTACCGTTTGGAATGTGCCAGTTCTCCTGCTGGAGTTTGTCTGTGAAATGTCTCAACACAGAGAGTAAAACTCAAGTCAGATGTGTTCCGAAGTGTGTTACACCGGTGCAAAGCTTCTTCCCCCTCTGTTTAATGTTCCCGAGGGCTCAGTCTTGAGTTCCCGGGCGCTTCCTGTTAAATGATACTGTGAAAATAACTTCATACTTTAAGGGGAAAGAAGCTGTTTGTGGGAGTTCAGATGTCCGTGATAAACGCTCTATGCTTTTTCAGTCAGTAAGCTCTTAAAATATCTTTCAATAATCCTCCAAAACCTTACTGAGATAGCAGCATCTGTGCTAAAAGCAGTCGAGGTCCAGGAAAAGGCTGGGACAAAACGGGATAAATCAGCATCGCTTCCACGCGTTTTCTCGGCTTTCCCATGAAGCCAAAGCAGCCTTGGAAGTAGTGAGTGCCAGTGAGTCCCGGTGTGTTTCTCGTGGGGGTCATTGCTTCAGTCTTGTCCTTTCTCCTGCACCTCTAGTGTGAACTTTGAGTTCAGTTGGAAAAGTTATCCAGAAAACAGGAAACTTTCTCGTTGCAAGAAGTTGCGTTTTGTGAGCTTCCCTTCAGAGCTGATGCACTTGGCAGGAGAAGTCACCAGCAATGAGGCTTTTCGCTCTCAGGCAGGAAGAAAAGCCAGTGCCTTTCCTCCCCAAGCCCCCAGCACAGCAGGGCTTCTAGGAGCCGATGGTGTCGCTGCTCTTTCGGTTCTCAGCTGTGCCCGTGGGGATGGTGACATCGTGTTCCTCTGTGTGCTCCAGGGCAGCCGAAAGCACCAGCACATCCCCCGGGCCTTTTTGGGAGCCTGAGGTATTGCAGCAGTGGGGGTGGGTTTGTTTTTTTCTTCCCTGAAAGTAAAACCGTAGGGGAAATCTCTGATCTCCCTGATTTTCATGTCATAATTGAATTTTTTTTTTTTTTTAAAAGTTAACACTGTGGAATTTACTAACTGACTTGCAGTGGTTAAACTGAAAGTGCCAAACAGTTGTAGTGTACCACTTATTGTTTTTATTTATGCAGTTTGGTGTTTATTTACAAAGGGAGGCCATGGAATGTTATGGTGTTTTCCCCCAATATTTTGAGGTGCTGCCCTGAATTAGTTGATTTCTGCCTCCCTCCCAATGGTGTTTCCCAGCAGTCCCAAGGCATCTCTTGGGCAATGCAGCTGCCAGAGGTCCCTCGGGACTGTGGGACAGGCAAAAACCCCACAGCAAAGGAGAACCTGGATTTGGGAGATGGAGAATTGAATGGCACCAGTTTGAGCTGTGCCAGTCCAGGGAATGCCAAAGGAAGTAATTCCAAGACTCCTCCAGTGGGAGTGCTTTTCCTGGATGTGTGTAAACACAGGCACAGTTTTTTACTACAAAGTGAGTTACTGAGATTTGGGGTTGTTTTCTCAGTTCCCTCTGTAAGTTTTCCCTCTCTCAGCCCCACTGGCCAAACGGGAGGTGCAGCAGCAGGGCCGGAGCTGTTGGATGGGTTTGGGAGCCCAGATTCCCATCCTGGTGCAGATGTGTCCTGCAGCCTCCCAGGGGGGATGTCCCTGCAGCAGCGCCCTGGGGAAGGGATGAGACATCTCCTGGCACTGCTGGCGCACAGGAACCCCACTGACTCCCACCTGGGGCACCCATTAATGATTATTATTGAGTTATTATGCAAATTACCATGGAATTGTGTGAATTGGGGGCCAAAATCCCACAGAGGTGTTTGGGAGCAGAGGGGCAGTGCCAAGGCAGAGCTGCTTAAGGATGGCAGGTAGGAATTGGAGCTCTCCCAGTTAAAAGTGTCTGATCATCACAGTCCTCTTTTTGTCCTCTTCCACCAGCTGTCCCTGGTCATTCTTGTGTTTGCGGGGAGTAAAAATGGCCTTGGGGATTTGCTTCTGGGAACAGAGATCCATTTCCTGATGGTAGTCCTGGAAATGGAACTGAGTCTCTGTGAGAGCTGAGGATGGTACAGAAGGAGTGCTGGGATTGGGGAGTCCACAGTGAGTATTGTGTGGTGAGTGTCCTGATGTCCCTGCTGTAATGCTGTGCTGTCATCAAGTCCCCTCATTCTGATGTAAACTGTCTTTGAGTGTGCTGAAAGTCCAAACTGAAGTACAAAATGCCTATGGGAAGCTTCATGTTCCCAAGGGAATGCTTTAGGGATGTGCAGCTTCTGAACTACAGAAATAATTCAGGTTCCCACAGAAACCTGCTGGGCCGTGGTTCTGGGGCAGGAGTGACAGAAAAGTGGCATCTTCAGGGCCATCTTAAGAGTTGTTTTCCCTCAAGATCACAATGAAATGCTGTTCTTGACCCTCTGGGAAACCCCTGAGCAGGGTAAGTGGTGTAAGTGTGGTTTTCCTGCTCTCTGCAGTCTCTCAGTGATGCCCTGAAGTGCTCTGGCTTATGGAATATGATCCATGGGTAACAGCTTCCGTGCCTATCTGTGCAGGTGGGTCAGTCACTAAGTGTCCCATGGGATCCCTGAGGCTGGAAAAGCCCTTTGAGACCATAGGGTCCAAGTGGTGCCCCAGCCTGCCAAGGCTACCCCCAGCCCATGTCCCCAAGGCCTGCATGAAGAGCCATCCCCTGAGGGACAGGAACTGGGGTGAGGGCTGCAGGCACTGGCAGTGGGGCTGGGGGTTCCCTGAGAGCCTCCAACACACATTCCCTTCTCCCTGGCCTTCCCAGGAAGGATGACTGGTCTGGAGAGCACAGTGTGCAAGGGGCAGCAGTCCAAAGCCACACTCAGGACATTTCCCTGCAGTTCAGGGAACCTCCGATTGCAGCACCTTGAAGTCTTGTGTGCTCAGCAGCTTTTCCTTTGGACTTTTTATGCCCTAGGAAACAGATTTGAGGACCTCCCAGTGAATTCAGTGAATTGTCCCAGCCAGAGAGCTTTTTGCTGACCTAAATTGAGCTTTTAAGGCCCAGACCTCCCGGATTTGCAGTGTTTTACCATAACAGTGAGCCAGGATGGATTCTCCTGTTCAGTGGTACAGCTGCCCACAAGGGCTGGGTCAGCTGGGCCAACACTTGCTGTTGTGTGTTTTCCTCTCTCAGAGGAGGCAAAACCACTTGGCTTTCCCTTGTAGGACCAACTGAGGCTGTGGATTGCAATGCAGAGCATCTGCAGGCTCCTGGTGCTTGGGGCTGTGGTGTTTGGAGTGCAGGAAACATCCCTGACTGTCTGACCTGGGTGTGGATGTGCATTTCCAGGACTAACTCAGTCTGGGTATCCCACCCACCCAAAGCTTCTGATGAAGCTCCAGGACCAGCAAGTCCCTGAAACTTGAGGGAGAGAAGAAATGAGTTCAAGTAGAAAGATCAGGTAACACATCTTGACTGATAAATCTTTTCCTGCCCAGAGTTGTTACTGTGAGGGGAAAACCTACTCTGTGCAATGGCAGCACAGATATTATTAGATGGAACAAAATCACTTCAGGCAAGAGGTTTTCTCCTGTGCAAATCAGTCCTTGGGCATGAATTGAACTTGGGCAATCAGTTGGTCTTCCCCCAGCAAGCATCATTCCAGTCAGCATTAATGACATGCCCTGTGCCCACTTCTCATTATTCACCCAATAAAAATCAAAAGCAAATAAATGTTGGTTTGGTTTTAAGAAATGAGAATAACTTTAAAACAAACTAAATCACCTTTTTCTTCCTTTTTTTTCTTTTAGATGATGGAATTGTCACTCTGGATGTGTGCTGAGCTCTGGTGGCAGGGGACTGTCAGGCCCTAATGGCTGCACATTCTTGTTCTTTTCACTGGGAAATTGGGAGTAATTATTAATTAGATTGCAGAAGTATTTTCTGAAACTTTTCCCTTTTTTCTGTCTTTTGCTGGTAGATTTTCTCTTTCTGCCTTTGAAATTACAGCTTCCTTGTAGCTCCCAGGTGGGAAAACCTGGGGTGACTTAGGGAGGACAGGGGTGAAATTTTTAGCTGAAAACTTGGGGGAATTTAGAGAGGGCAGAGCAACTGCTTTTGTAGGAAAACATTGATCCGAGTTGTGTTTGCACAACTTGGGGCCAGAGGTAAAAGTTAATGCAAAGCAAACCCTGCTCAACCTCTAAATCCCAGGCTAAGTTCTACAAGCTGCAAATTGAGGGACTAAAAATACATTAAAATGGAACCAAGAGCATTAATAAGGTGCCAGGGAATCCCAGTATTGTTGTCATAGAATTTTTAACTGATTTTTAAGCTTCTTATGACAACAGTGAGTTTCTTCCTTTGGATTACTCATGCTGTAGGTTTTGAGGTTTATTTGGATTTTGAATCCCTCACTGTGGCCCTGACACTGATCAGGAGCTGGCAGGAAAAACAGAATCAGAGCTCCTGGCAGGGGCAGGGTGTTTTCCCCCAGAGCGGATCCAACTGCTGCCCACCAGCCTGGCCACCAGCCTGGGATTTGCTTTTGGCTCTTGGCTTCTTCAATGGTGAATTCCTGCTGGAACAGCCTCACAGTGCCTTATGGAGCCCAGATATTCCCCTGCAGAGCTGCCGCTTTAACGCCAGGTTTGTCAGGAACCAGCCAACATTCCAAGGAAGCTCAGTGGGATCAGGACAGGACAGGTTGATATCCCATAGAATTTGTTGATTATAACCCTCCTCCCCCAGCCCCGCTGATGTCCCTGTGAGGGAATTGACCAAGTTCCCTGGAATTCAGCTGATTTTCACCCCCCTGGGGTTGGGCTCCAGGGGACGTGTTCACCCAGGAGAAGGTGGTGGTGGGACGCGCTCCCGGCACGTGGTGAGGCAGCACCTGAGCACAGGTGAGGACGTCTCTCCGTGCAGGAAGCCATTGTCACTTCAGAGCCCCAGGAGTTGCCTCTGGAAGTTTTATTCCCTGAGGAAAGGGATGCATATCCCTGCCTTCAGGGCACCTCGGGTCTGACCCACCTGTTAAAGCTTACCATGGCTTCTGCAGTTCCAGCTGTGCCTGTCCGGGGTGAAGCATCTCAGGGTGCCACGGGGAAGGGGGAGGCGGGCGATATTCTCCCGGGGGGTGCTCTGACCGGGGGCTGCAGTTCCGCCCCCGCCCACCGGGGGTCGCCGTGATCGGCGCCGCCGCGCCGTGTCCGCCAGAGGGCCCCCGCGGGACCGGCGGGCTCGGGGGTCCCGGGGCCGGCCCGGGGGGTCCCCGCGCCCCGGCCGGTCCCAGCCCCGGCTCAGCGTCCGCACGAGGAAAGCGCCGCCGCTCTCCCGGGCCCGGGCCCCGGCGCAGTCCCGGCCCGGAGCGGCCCCGATCCCGGTCTCAGCCCCTATCCCGCCTCGCTGCTCCGGCCCGGGGACTCGCAGCGTCCCCCGGCAGGAACCGGTCCCGTCCCCGCTCGGCGGCTCGGGCTCGGCGCAGCGCCGGGAGCAGCCCCTGGGCCGGGGCTCCAGCCCCGAGCGCCGATCGGTCCCGCCGCGACCCGGGACGAGCGTCCTCCGCAGCCGCGGGGCGGACGCGGCTCGGCCGGGTGTGAGCGGCGGGGCCGGGGCGGGGCCCGCACAGGTGAGCGGGGCGGGGCCCGCACAGGTGAGCGGGGCGGGGCCCGCACAGGTGAGCGGGGCGGGGCCCGCACAGGTGAGCGGGGCGGGGCCGAGGGTGTTCGAGCCCCGGGATCCGCCCCCGCCGCCGTTCGCTGGGGCAGTGCGCGGAGGGGCAGCAGCGCCCCGGGGTCGGCGCGGGGGCCTCGGGCTCCCACGTCTCCTTTCCGTTATTTTTATCCTTTCCCTTTTCTTTTGTCCCTTCTCTTCCTTCCCCCTCCAACCCCGCTCCCCGGACCTCCTCCTCCGGATAGGGCCCGCGGGAAAGGTTGGGGTGACCCCCGATAGTCGGGGACGGGTTGGGGGCGTTTTGGGGTGACCTCAGGTGCCGAGGGGGGGGTTCGGGGGTGACCCCGGCGAGGTTTTGGGGTGAACCCGGAGAGGGTTTGGGGGCAGTTTTGGGGCAAACCCAGGTGTCGGCGGAGGAGGAAGAGTCTGGGGGATTTTTGGATGATCCGAAGGGGATTTCGGGGGTGGGGGTTGGAGTGAACCCAGATGATTTTTGGGGTGACCCCAAGGGGGGTTTCAGGGGGTTTTGAGGTGACCTCCTCCCCCCCCACACACACACCGCAGACTGGCCAAGGAGGAGATGCAGTTCCAGCACCTGGAGGACATTGGGGACCCACTGGGGGACCCCCTAGACCACCCCTCACCCACCCCGCCCCTCCCCGCTGCACCCCGAGAGCAGCTCTGGGGTGGGGGGCGGCCCCCCCGAGATTCCCCCGGGAGACGGGGACCCCGAGGACCGGTGGCTCCTCCACCCCAGCGCCGACCACGTGGTTTAATGGGGGGAGACACCCCCAAAAATACTCTCCGGCTCAAGCCCCCACAGAATCCATCCAAAATAAACCCCCAGCGCTGAACCCTGAGGCTTTGTTGGAACATTTTCTTTTGGGTTTGGACACACAAGACCTCCCCGAGAATTGTAGTACAAAAATAGACGTGCTAAAAGCCCCACAAAAGGGGAGGGGGACAGGGCCCGGGCCCCCTCCCCAAAAACAGAACAGAGGGAGGGCTCTGGCTTGTAATGTCTGAATAGGACACCCCACCCCCCCACCCTGGCACGAAACACCCCCCCCGCCAGCTGAGGGGGGACCCCAAAACAATCCCGGAACGGGGGGGGGCCCTCCCTAAAGAACCCCTGGCCGGGAATGGCAGGACGGCGAAAGGTCGAAGGGCCACGAAACGAAGGGAACCCTGCAAACCCCAGTGAGAAGTAACAGGGACCCCCAAAACCCGGGGATGGGTACGGGCGGTGCCCTAAATACCAGGGCTGGATAACAGGCACCCCCTCAGAGCCCAGGGACGAGTGGGTCAGAGCGCTCCCGGCCCTGCGGGGCTGCCGCGCTTCAGAGCAGCGGGGCGGGCACGGGGCGGGGCGGCGGCCGCGCTTTAGGGCCTTCCTCGGAAATCAAAATCGAGCTTCTCCCAGCCCGGCTCGTGTCAGTGACTCTTTCTCCACGGATTCCCACGCCCCGCGCCTGCCTCCGCAACCTCTGGCTCGCCTCCACCCTCCTCGCCCGCGGCTCCGCCCGCCGCCCCCTCCCGTGCGGGGCAGCCCGAGGTGTGGCCGGGGAGGAGGATGAGGGGCGGGCGCTGTTGGGTGGTTACCTGGGGGCACCTTCCGTAGGGAGCTTTTTGCAGGGGAGTGGTCGATCCCAGGGACTTTCTCAAGCAGTGATGGTGAGAGCATCTCACAGGAGGTGGGGGAAGCCCCTGGACGGACCTGGATCATTGCTCAAGGAAGATGCCGAGGGACGAGCCCCGTGCCAGGAGGCAGCCCAGGAGAGGGGAGCAGTGCACCTGAACAGCTGGGGAGTGTGAGGGTGCAGGGAAGGTGCAGCTCGGACTGGAGGCAGAGCGTGGAGGTTTCTTTTATTGAAAGGAACATACAAAGCAGGGAGTGAGATGCAACTCCAAGACAGTAGATAATAAGCTGGAAGTTTACTGTCCAAACCCTGAACTGATAGCTGATACATCCAAGACCATAGAGACTAAGCTGGAACCACAGAATCCTAACCCAATAAGAACAGCTCAGAACTCCAAAAACGGGAGGGAGTGCAGGCCCTTGTTGTCCAGCAACACGTTCATGTTCCGACTACTAGCTTTTCTTTTCCAGTTTCCTTTGATGTTTTAGTTCCTGCTTTGGGTTTACTTTCTCATCTTTCTTGCTCTCCTTTTTCTGCTCTTATTTGTAATATCTGGTTTCTAATCACCTCGGGTCTCTACTCTCAAGTGTGTCTAAGGCATGTGTTCTCACAGCCTCTCTTCCCCAGCTCGTCCCAGTCCCTCGTGACAGCATCCCGTACCTCAGACGTGTCAGCCACGCCAGTTAGCTCGCTGTCGTCTGTGAATTTGATCAGGGCGCAGTTTTCCAAGCATCTTTGTGATTTTTTTTCTTTCTAGGCATCTTACTTGTTTGTCTTCTGCTGTTTGTGATTCCGAGTCGTCCTTCTCCTTTCTACAGCCTCTTCCTCCTTAGATTTGTCTTTCCGTTCTCTCCTTCTTAGCATCTTGATTGTATTTGTATTTCTTATTTCTAATTCCTATCATTTTCCTTGACGAGTTACTTTTTTACATAGCTTTGTAGCATTTTTATCTTTTTCTATCGCTGCCCAGAAAAGAAGAATTTGGACTTCTTACCTGCTGCCTGCTGTTTTGGTGGATGTAGCTGTAGAAACAGAGAAGGTGTTATGATTCTCATGAAGAGTCATTTTCTCCATCAGGTCCTTCACCCATCCCGAATATAAGTCAGACTGGCAAACCAGGTGCAGGTCCTCCCAGAGCCTTTATACATTCTGGCACTTGGCTTCAAATGCCGAGGCTGAAAGCTTGCAGGAGCTCTGCGCTGGAAGTGCCAGTCCGACTCCCAAAATGGAATGCAGAAGAAGATTCCTCCCAGACAAAAGGTGCCAGGAGATAAAACTCTTGCTGCCCATGGAGTGCCAAGGGGGGGGGCGGGTGGAAGGCTGGGAGTGGAGGGCGTGGGGGGGGGTTGGAAGGGCGAGGTTGTGTGAGGGGGAAGTGGGGGAAGGGTGGCAATGGGATCTGAGAGGGTCAGGTCAGTCTGAACCATGAATACAGAGATCATCACACGGAGGAGCCTCACCTCCCCTAGGATGATACTCCCCCCCACCCCGTCCGGTGGAGGAGGTACGGGGAGGGCGATGTCCCCCATCCTGCGAGTTTGGTCCCAGAAACAGACCCAGAGATCTATATGAACCTACAGACCCAGATCTATAGAGATGTATATAGACCCAGAGATCTCTGTAGGCCCCGGGGTC